CTGTCTGCACCCTCGCAGCACAGCAGGGCAGTGGGGCCAGAACGGGCAGCTCAGAACCCAAGGGGCTCCCTCCCTGTGATGTGCTTTAGACCTCAGTGAAGAAACGAACAGAAAGCCAGGTTTACAGGGTATGAGTTTAATGAAAAAACACAACAATGTCTTGGTTCATTTATCTGACAAAAAGGAAGACAAATCAATAAACAAATATAATGGCAACTTAATCTGAGTGGCTCCCAAGGTCACTACAAATAAAATGGCATCACTTTGTTCCAGCTCTCACCAGACTCCTTCCCCACTACGACCTCCCCAATCTCATCTCTCCCCTCAAAACCCGCCCCTAGGCCTCGCTGTGGCCTCAGCTCCTCTACCTCTAAGCTTCTGGGCCCACTCCCACTTACCTCCCCTCCCAGCTCTAGTCCCACTGCAGCTCCTGATACTGTGCTTGTTCTGCTTACCAGTGACACCATGAGACTGTCCCATAACCAATGGGCATCACCTGGTCCCCAGTAAACTGAAGATCAGAGACATTCGCCTTGGAAACTCCTCCTTGAACACTCTCTTCATCTGCCTGCTAGGGCCCTCCCTCGTCTTTCCTGCCTTCCCATCTCCCTCTGGTTAGGTTTCAGCCTTCCTCCCCTCTCACTAGGACTCTACCAGGAGGTCTCATTCCCACCCTAACTTTTACCCCCTATTTAAATACCAACAATGTCCCAATTTCTACCCAAACGTCTCTCTAAACTGAATCTCCATGGCCACCTGCTTGTAAGACATCTCCACTGAAAAGCTTTATTGTGCTCAAACCAACTTCTTACCAATCCTTCTTCTAGAGTCTATATCACATTTGGTAGCACCTCCATCCACCATGTTACCCAAGTAGACACCCTGAAGTCCTCCAGGTGTCCTCCTTTCCAATGCCTTGCATCCCATTGCTCTCTGAGTCCTGTCCACCAGCTCACACATCTGCAGTCCCCCTCCCTTTCCAAAGCCAGGGTCCCGGGTACCTCATTTCTCACCAGCAGAAAGTCTCAAATTGACCTTCCTGCAATTTTCCCCTTCATATTTCCTGTCAGATAATCTTCCTAAAGTGCAAACATAGTTATGTTATCCCACTATTTAAAATTGAAAACTGACCGGGCCAGTGTGACTCAGTGGTTGAATGTTGACCTATGAACGGGTCACGGTTTGATTAACAGTCAGGGTACACGCCTGGGTTGCAGGCTCCATCCCCAGCAGGAGGCATGCAGGAGGCAGCCGTCATCATTGATCTTTCTCTCTCCCCCTTCCTCTCTGAAATCAATAAAAATACATTAAAAACAAAACCTGTACAATGATTTATTCCACATTGAGGATAAAAAGGGAGAAACCTCATAGCACAGCACAGGAAGCACCTGATGAACTCAGTTCTGTCCACCTACACAACCTCCTCTCCAACCTCAGACACCTACTCTGTGCTTCAGCCCCAAACTACTTACAGCCCCCAGAAGGCATTTCCATCCAGGGCTGTGCACGAGCCGCGCTCTGCCTGGAATGCCTCGCCAGCCCCTGCTGCCTTTCGAGGCACTGCTCCTCCAAGTCCCTCCTGTCGTGCTCCCATGGCACTCTGTGCACACTTCCTCTCAGCAGCCAGCTCACGGCCATTCTGAAACAAAGGCCAGTGACGTCACACCAATGGTGGTCAGCAGGGTGCTTCTTACCACCTGGGACAAACCACAAGGTTTTTCACTGCTTCTGCTGTCTCCCTTATGCTGAACCTGGTATTCTCCCTACTTTTCTTTTTATTAATAACTTCTTTCACTTAATATTTTTTAAATGGCATGAATATCAGCAGGCTACAGAGCTACAGAAAAGAAACGGCAGCATTCCTAAGCTTTCAGAGCAACAGGAGGGAAGGACGGGTATTCTCTCCTTGCTGTGGGAAAATGCTGGCATGGGGAGTGCTAAAGGCACTCAAATATCTGTTGCAAGCTGACTCCTCTTAGAAAGAGAGATAACAAAAGTGAGTTTTAAAGGGCCCCCAAACGCAAACTCAGGCCTGAAATATGTGTACTACTAAGTTCCATTTCTGAAAATTCCAACCCATCTAATATAATAATAGAGGAATATGCAAGTTAGCTGGGACACCGTAACATCACGACCGATCTACAAGGGGCAGAGAGCTACAGGAGGGCGGGGAAGAGAGCTATGAGCACACGGATTCGTGCACAGTGCTATTAGTAGTAAATAAATAGGAACAAATTGATGTGATATATATGGAAAGGGGATTTTTCTTCACATCAAATTGTGCACTGATAATAAAGACTAAGTAGAAGGGCTGAAGGAATAAATCGGCTGTAAATTACAAAAGTAATGTTCCATACCTTCCCAAGCCTTGAAGCACAACAGAAAGAACACGGGAAGTTTACAATTCTTGGTCATTTACAATGTTCTTAACACTGCAACTCAGAGGGACAAATGCCTCAAAAAGAGTTGGCAAGGCTTCACTCTCCATTTTGATTAGTATTCTCAAATCAATATACTTACAAATATCACAGTTAGCCGACAGAAAGTTTAAAATCTTTATTCTAAAAATATAAAGTCATTAAAAAATTGTACTGTACATAAAAAACACAAATAAAATTAGTTAAATGCCCTCCCTTCCCCATCACTGTGAGAGTTACTATAAGCTAACCTTATGCTGATAAAACAAATGATGTGGAAGGTAGCAGGTTCTACATAACTTAGAGTATGGGATTTACATGATGGAATGATAGAAAATGAGTAGAAATAAACAAATGCAAATATGCTGATCTGGGAAGTGAGGGGGCAGGAGTGACTGAAATGAATCTTCTCATTGCTTAAGTGTTCTTAATTTTGAAATCAGAGAATATAACACTTTTTCTTCCACATACTTAAACTTTTGGAAGTAATAAAATTTTCAAGCTGCTGTAGGTCAGTGGTTAGAGCACTGGCCTGTGCACCTTGCAGGCTCGAATCCTGGTCAAGGGCACGTACCTGGGTTGCAGGTTTGATCCTCAGCCCTGGTAGGGGTACATGCTAGAGGCAACCAATCAATGTATATCTCTCACATTGATGTTTCTCTCTCCCCCTCTCTCTCTCTCCCGCCCCAACCTCCCACCCTCTCTAAAAATCAATGGGAAAATGTTTTTAAATTTGACAGTTAAGACCTTAAGAAATTTTCTCAAGAGAATAGAAATTTTTAAAATTATAACTTATATGAAATACATAATGCAAAATGACAAGAAATGTGGGGGTCCTTATAAAAAAAGGAAATTAACACACTCAAATCATTAAATAAACTACGTGGTACTTTCAAATATTAATTAACATAAATTAGC